AACACAAGGACATGTTTTGCTGAAGATCAACAAAGTGGGAAGTCATCTCTCTGTGTCCCTCTGTCCCCCACTCTCTTGACCATTCCTGTTCTCTCTCCTTGGAAGCATCGAATGTCTTTCTGTCCAGGTCACCTGAGCCGGGGGACAGCTGTGGGGTCCCAGGGTGGCCCCTGGGGCCATGGCAGGGATAGCTGCCCAGGGAACAGCTCCCACGGCCTTGGCTGGATCCAAGGGGGAGTCGGGAGGCAGCGCTGAACACCCTCCTGTGGGCCTCAAGGCCCAGAAACTTGAGTCACAGCAGGGTCACAAGCCCCAGGGACCTGACAGCTTGTAGCCCAGAGGCAGGCGAACAGCCCGGAGAGCCAGCTCTTAAATAAATAAACAGGAAGGTAGGCAGGGAAGGCCTGTGCTGGCCGCCAGTGCCCCAGCCAGCTGCCCACACGCTGAATGCAAACTACCTCTCGGCCTGATGTCCCTGAAATTCCTGCTTCCTCCTGAACCTAAAGGAGTCAACCCACGTTCCCAGAAGCCTTCCAGGGCAAGGCAGGGGTGCAGCGGAGACCCCCAGTGATGGGGGACTGCCCCGTCCCAAACTGTGACCACCCAGAGTAGGCCTGGCTACGGGGATGGTCGGGGGCAGGGGACGCATGGAAGGACAGCTGGAGCCTGGAGGACTCAGGGGCTACTGAAATCTGAAGAGAACGATGTATAAGAAAGAGACCAGGGCCTAGAACTGAGATCAGGTGTTTTCAAGCTCGTCTGAATTCGAGAGGCCTGAGAGACGTCAGAATATACATTTTTCCCCACAAAGATTTATTTATTTATGCTTACAAGAACTGTCCTACAGCCACAAAGATTTATTTATTTATGCATACAAGAACTGTCCTACAAGCCAGAGTTGCAGGGGGTGGAGAGACCAGAGACCGAGTGGGGAGCAGAACAGGTGGATTGACTAAAACACACTGCTGAGGGGAGCAGCGGGGAGACAGGAGAGGTCTGCTGCGCCCTGGGGGTCACTCCCCGGTGGGGATGGAACTCGGGCTGCAGTGGCTGTGGGCAGCTTCAGAGTGCTGAGACTTAACTCCTTGCCCCACAAGGGAGGGCCCAGAATGTGTGTTTCACTGAACTACAGGATGGTGTGGAGGGTGTGCACAGACATGAAGAGGAAAATGTCAGGAAATAATACTTTTACAGTAAACTCTGATAGCTCCTTTTTTTTTTTTTTTAACTGCTCAAGATTCACCAGTTGATTTCACTCCCTATAAATGGGTTGCTGAGTGAGGTTTAAAAATACACTGATGTGTGTTCAGAACCAGGACACCACACAGGAGCGGAATTCTAGAAGGAGCACGTATTTATCGATGTCCCATTCTCCTCTCCGTCTTGGGGTGTGTTAGGATTCGACTTCTGTCCCTTTTGAGGGTCACTTGGAACGCAGAGAGCTGCAGAACTGGGTGCTCAGATGAAGTGCACTGAATGAATGATTTTGACGGTCTTTTCCTCGCTACTTGAGCTGGCTACCGCCCACCACTCCAGCCTCATTTCTCAGCAATTCTTCCTTTGGCTTTCCTACCTAACTCCAGGGAGCTGGTCTCTGTTTCAGAAATGCCTCCCCTCCTGGACTTTGCCCTGCCTCTAAATTCTGCCTGTTCCCTTTTCTTCCACCCTCACTGGTCCATCAATACTCAGTTCCTAAAACCTAGGTAATGTCACAAACCAGTGTTACTTCAATGCAAAACTGAAGTTCATTCATCTTGGGTGCCTCCTCCTCCAGGGTGACCTCCTGGACTGCGCGGCCCAGGCTGGGTTTCTGCTCTGGGCTCCCCCATCACCACCCTGCTCACGCTGCACTGTCAGTCTCCTCTGTAAGACTGAGTCCAGTCGCCGTCTCAGTGATTGCTGCCGCCCAGGACTACTCAGTGCAAACTTGGTCACAGAGTAGATACTCAGAAGAAAAGGTCACTGAATGCATGAAACCAACTCTGAGTGAGCAGGGAGGCTGTGTTCTCTGCGAGCTCTGAACCCCAGGCCTGCTGGAGTTTCCTCAGCCCCTCTGCACACCAGCTCCTTTTAGGGACCCCGTCAGAACCTCCTCGCTTTACAGATAGCCGACTGAGGCTGGGAAGGGGCTCCCTGCTTTCTGGGGTCCAGATCCCTCACAGCTCAGCCCAGTCTCTCTTGGCACTCACTCACTTCCTTCTGGGAGCTAGGAGCTCCAGAACCTTTTATTATTATTATTGTTATTATTTTGCCAATGACAACTCAGTTTTGTGAATCTGCGTAGGAGATTTGGCTGAGCTGGAGGAAAACTGGCTGAGACTGGCTGTTGGTCTATTTTCCCTCCAGGCCTGAGGAGGGCAGGGGTGGGACACTCTTGGCCAATCGGAGGCCAAACCCTCAAACCTCTTGGCTTGGATCCACCCCACACTTCTGGAAGGTTCTGGGATTCTGGGGTTGCCTGAGTCCCGGAGCCTCCTCCCTCCATCCAGACCCTGTTTGGCATCCCTCGCTTGGAGGAGGGAGGGCAGACTAAGTCTGGTCTGTGCCCAAGCTGTCCAACTAGCTGGGGGCACTTTTCCATGGGGGGTGAGGGAGTGCTGCTCACTAGAGGGTAAAATGTTTCCCCACCTCCAGCCAGGCCACCTGCTGACAGAGCACCTGAAACCTGAAACCTGCTGGAGCCTCTCAGGCTCTTTGCCCTGTACCCTGGGGGTGGGAAGGCACCCAGTCTGTGACCCTATGCTCAGAGGAACAGTGCATGGAGGAGCTCCCCTCTTCTTAAACTTTCTTCTTATGTGATCCTCTTAAAAGGGCATCACAGCTTAAAATACCATGGGTCTGATTTATTCCAGAAGGTGACCAGATGAATGAGCGGGCCTGGGATGGGTGCGCCCAAGTAGCACCCAGGAGGGCTGATCCAGTCTGGGAATCAGGGAGGGCTTTCTGGAAAAGGAGGCCTCACAGCCAAGAAAGGGTAAGACCAAGTCTAGGGAAAGAGTATTCCAGGCAAATGGAATAGAACACACAAAGCCCCAGAACTGAGAACGGTCTGGAATGTTCCCAAGCATGGATCTAGCCGAGTCACCCCTCCCTCTGAGTGACCCCAACGGCTCCACTCAGGATAAAGTCCAAACACTTCTGTCAGCAGCTGTCTATTCAGTAATCATTCCTTCAGTCATTCAAAAACCCACTTCCACGCAGCTGAAGCTGAAAGGTGTCAAACAGACCCAACAGGGGGGATTGGGTGGAGGTGGTCAAGAAAGAAATAGTGTACCCTTGAACAACAATGGGGTTGGGCTGTGGCTCCCACCCGCTCGCCCAAGTCGAAAGCCTGAGTATAAATTTTGACTACCCCAAACTTAACCACAGTCCCCGATAGCAAAGCCGCTGGGGTCCCTCAGAGGGTGGGGTGACTCAGATCTATGCTTGAGGGGCTGATCTCAGCCCTCCCCTCCCCCCATTCCAAAATACAGGGGATAATCAAATCCTTCAGACCCTGATATCCACAGTTCAGCAAACTGACATTGGAGGGTGGTTAAAACCATGGATGTGGTGATCCTGGACCCGTGAGGAGGAAAAGACCCTCATAGAAGGGCAAGGGACAGTTCCAACCCAGGTTTTCTAGGGTCACCAGAGCCCACTATCATCTGCTTGGGAAAAGAACAGCTATGTCACAACTGGTTTCAGCGCTTTGATATCTCCTCCAGAGTCCAAAGCAACTTCTACAGCGTGGAAGAATCCTTACTGTGTCATGGCTCCCGGACCGACCGAGTAACTTTGGGCAAGTCACACCACTCCCAGCCTCCATTTATTCAGCTGTAAAATGGAGACAGTTGGTACCATTTACCTCAGAGATCATCGAGGGGTGAACCAAGTTCATGTAGCTATAATGTGTAAAGAAACTAAACGTTTCTGCTTATTTGAAAATGTTTCATAATAATCGAGGGAGGTGGGAAATTTGGCAGAAAGCGCTTGTGAAAATGTTTGCTCAATCATTAAACTGAATTATGATTTTTTAATAGCTGGGTTGAAAATAGTGTGCCTAGGAGGGAGAGGTGTCAATGTTAGCAGATAAATGCCTTTCATTAACAAATGTGGGACCCTCCCTGGTGGTGAACAGCGTGAAAGCACAGCAGGCGATGGCACTGGCACGTGAATCTATGTACCCATCCACTGCTGAGTGAGTGCCATCCCTGGCCAGGGAGCTGACCCACATGCTGGGGCAGACCTCTCCTGACCCTCCTGCTGCTCCCCTCAGCAGTGTATTTCAGTGCACTGCCTGTTCTGAGCACCATTCTGTCTCTGGTGAATCCTCTCACCTGCCTCCCACTCCACCTCAGGCCTGTACCCCAGATCTGTGTGCATAAATAAAATCTTTTAGAAAAAAATATGTGGGACACGGGACTGGGAACATTCATTTTAAAAATTATGAACATTAATAAGCGCATCATCTCCTTTCATTTTAACCTCAGACCCATCTGGCGAAGGAGGAGCTTTTATTAGGTGCACTTTTTTTTTTAATTAATTTATTTATTTGTGCATACAGAACTGGGGTACAGGCCAGAGGCTCAGGGGCGGTGAGAGGCTTCACCAGAGACAGAGTGGGGAGCAGAACAGGCAGATCTACGAAGTACACTGCTGAGGGGAGCAGCGGGCAGGTCAGGAGAGGTCTGTCGCGCCCTGGGGAAGTGGCTTCAGATTCTCAGTGCTGTGCTTTAACCCGCTGCGCCACCAGGGAGGGCCGAGGTGCACTTTTACAGTCGTGGAATTGAAGTTCCCAGAGGCGACCGAAGACTGAAATTAGAGCGAACGAGGAACTCCAGGCTGAACTGACTTACCGGGGTCACCAGCCCTTGCAGGAGAACCTCGTTGAAGTTTATCTGTCCCCACCAGCAGCCTGATTTTTTAGGCGGGGGGTGTGGGGGGATTGGGGGGAGGGAAGTCCTCCAAGCGTGGGCCCCGAGGCGGCCGCCCTGGATGTGGCTTCCGCCTTTGTCATTCTGCCTTCTGTAGGTGATTCGCTTACTTGGGTTCAGCCCCGCTCCTGCCGACGTCTAGAAGCCTGCACCCAATGGACGCCCGGAGGTTGGTCTCCCCAAAGCCGTCTCCTCCCCCTAATCCTGGAAGCTTACGTTAAACCGGCTCAGAGCCACGAGGCACGCTGGGGTGGTTCCCCCAGGGCTAGAAGCAGCCACGTTCCAGCATCCCGGGCCGCCGCCCTCCGCAGCCAGGGGCCTGATCCCCCTCTCCCAGGAGCTCCGTTTCCCAGCTCCCCAGACGCAAGCTCCCAGCCCTCGGATTCCAGGACCCAGGCCCCCTGGCCCCCTGCCTCCCGATTAGGCATCCCGGATCTGCGCCATCAGGAGCCAGCCTCAAGAAGACCTCTGGCGTGTGGGCGCCTTTAACCTGCCGGACCCCAAGTTCCGTCCTGAGAACTCCTGTATTCCCAATCCCCAAAGCCAAGAAACCGGTTCTCCCAGCTTTGGGGCGCCCGGGCACAAGCTGGAAGAGCGGAGTTGTGCCAGCGCCCAGCCGAAGGATCCCGGACACTCCCGCTTGCCAGCCGGGGAAGCGAGCGAGGCGCGGTGCGTCAAGACTCCGAGGAACTCCTCGAAGTTCCAGCCTCCAGGCTGTGGTGCTCGACTCCCACTTCGAAGGAACGTGGCGGGAAGGAGCCCCGAGCGTTTCCAGATTCCGGGCGCTGAGAAGTCCGCGCTTTCATCATGGTGGCCGAAGCACCTAGGGAAGCCCTCAAGGGCTTCGCGGCGGCGGAGCCCCCCGCCAACGGGGACCCAGTGCTAGTCTCGATGGAGGACCCCAGCGCGGCGGGAGGCGGCTGCTGCCGTTCCCGGGACCAGGTGCGCCGCTGCCTGCGGGCCAACCTGCTGGTGCTGCTGACGGTGGTGGCCGTAGCGGCGGGCGTGGCGCTGGGGCTGGGGGTGTCCGCGGCGGGCGACTCGCTCGCGCTGGACCCCGCGCGCCTGGCGGCCTTCGCCTTCCCCGGCGAGCTGCTGCTGCGCCTGCTGAAGATGATCATCCTGCCGCTGGTCATGTGCAGCCTGATCGGCGGCGCCGCCAGCCTGGACCCGAGCGCGCTCGGCCGACTGGGCGCCTGGGCGCTGCTCTTCTTCCTGGTCACCACGCTGATGGCTTCGGCGCTCGGCGTGGGATTAGCGCTGGTTCTGCAGCCGGGCACCGCCTTCAACGCCTCGATGGGGTCCGCAGGCAGTGGAGAAGAGGCCCCCACCAAGGAGGTGCTCGATTCATTCCTGGACCTTGTGAGGTGAGATCCCGCCCACGTGGTGGGGGATGGGAAGGGAGTGCTTTCGCTACGTGGACGAGAGGAGGCTCTGAGACCCCAGATCCGGGACATCCCCAGGGCTGTGGGAAAACTAAAGAGGGTGCTGGGGGTGGATAGGGGGGAGCTCTGCCCCTTAAGGGTTGGGGTGTTCACCATACGAACAGATGGCTGGGGAAAGAGGCTTCTAAATGTACGTATGGGAACCCCCCCCCCCCCATGAGGGAGATAGGTGAGAAAGTCTTAGTAGTAGAAGACAGTGCTATGCCTTGGGGGTCGTGTGTGGGCTGAGGGCGTAAGGGGCTCCAGAATGGGGCGAGGACCCTGACCGGTCTCCTTGGAAGGGGAGCTTTGAGTGGCTAAGGGACCCAGGATGCCGCTTTCGGGTAAAGTCTGGAGTCCAGGAATAGGGGTGTTGGGACCCCCGAGTAAGGCACTGAAGCTATTCTAGTGACCCCCACCTGACCTTCCTCACAGTTCCAGGGCTCCCCACCACATGGCACTTGCCCCACGGACATCGCCAGTTCTCTTCCACCTAGTTCAGCTGGCCCCAGGCTTCCTCTTTATAGGTTCCTGCCACCCCTGACTCTCCACCCCATTTCCTCCATCTCCCCCCATTATTCTGGCCTGAGGGGGCTGGTTAGAAAAGGAGGCCGATTCCCTTTTTAAAGAAGACTACCAGTGGGTGTACAAGGTTTTTGGGTGTCTCTTCTGACTCTGTGCCTCAGGGCAGAGGGAACTTCCTTGAAGTGGGCGTGAAGCGAGGGTGGGTGAGTCAGAATTGGGTTCTTGGGGCTCTACGGTGGGGCAGCTTGGGTGTCAGAAGCTGTGGGTGGGCCCCTTCTGGCCAGGGGAGATTAGCTGGGTCCTGGCCCAACCCTGTCTGGCCTGGGTGGGAACAGGCAGATCTGCAGACTGGCACACCCAGGGGTAGGCTGCTCCTGGAGTTAGCTCCCCGGCACCCCACCCTCCCACACCCTGTGCAGGCAAAATAGCTGCAACTTGACCTTGGCTAGCCCCTCAGAGCCACACAACTCCATGACCAGCTGACACATGGCCGGACACAGGCACGCAGAGCCCCAGCTTGTAACAGCTCACAAGTCGTGAACTTACACCAACTGTCTCACACTCACACACAGAGCACTGGCACCGTTTTGGCACCAACAGCTGCTCACCAGATGACCTGAGCATAGGGAAGACCCACATACTCACACCCTCGCCCCTACTTGGTCCACACTAGTGGTGCCCACCCGATGCCAACACCCTGAAAACAACCCACGTCGTTGGTGAGAGGGAGGAGGTGGAGAAGCCCAGTGGTTAGGAGTAGGCCGCCAGCTGGCTGGTTAGACCCCAGCTTCCGGCCTCGGTTTCCTGTTCTGTAAAGGAGGATCATGGCGTGGGGCCCTGGGGGCTGTGTGTGTGTGTGGGGTGTTGGGAGTTCATGTCTAGGGGGCGCTTGCTGTAGTACCAGTGGATGCACTTACTGCTCTCTCTGTCTCCTCAAGACGACAGGAAGTGATGTGTGACTGGGCTCTGGGGCACTGTCACACACGAGAGGTTGTGTTGGCACAGATGTACACGTGTGGCATCTTCCACCCTCTATCGCTGCTACGCTCAGCACACCCAGCTCTTCCCCGTGCCCTCCTACCCCCCCAACCCCACCCCGCCTCTAGCCCACCCGGAGAGTGGCTGATAGAAAACGCGCAGGGTATTAAGTTTGCTGCAGGGGTGGACTGCAGCCCCTGCACCTGCTGGCCTGGGGGTTCAGCTTTCCTTACCCTTCCCGGGCCTCGGAACAGCAGCCATCTGGGGGCCCAGAGGCCAGCTCAGACTCCCCACACCCTAAAAATGTGTGCAGGCCAGATCAACTCTGCCCGATGGAACCTGTCAGCGTCCCGGGTGCCAGCCACATTGGGGTGCCAACGTGACCTCCCAGAGGTCAACGGAACCTCCCACAGCCCTGACCTCCCCCTGTGGTGTCTAACAACCCCTCCTGTGTCTGTCTCTGCAGAAATATCTTCCCTTCCAACCTGGTGTCTGCAGCCTTCCGCTCAGTGAGTCCTCCCATGTTCCTGGGGGTGGCCAGGGAGGGAGACCGCCCGTTGCAGGCCTCAGCACCTCACCTTGGAAGGTGTCTGGGAAAAGCATGCCCATGTATTTACAGACCATCTTGCAGCATTCTTGGGTGACCCTGAAAGCTAATTTTCACCCTTTCTCCGCAGACAAGGCTCTATGGTTTCCAAACATTTCTGGGTTCCCGTTCTGTCTGTGTGACCCCGGGCCGGTGGCTTTACCTCTCTGAGCCTTGGTTTCTGACTCTGGAAAGTGGGGGCATGAGTAGTCCTTCCTCATTGAGGTTGCCAACCAGATGGAATAAGATTTAAGGGATGCCTAGGTCACTCTGAGCTTTGTGGGTTCTAGTACTAGGTGGGGGAGCCTCTGTGAAATGGACCCTGATGCTCCCCAATTCTCCCTGTAGTACTCCACCTCCTATGAAGAGAAAGAGATCAGCGGAAAGTTGGTGAAGGTGAGAGCTGGGGAAGGGCCGTAGGGGCCTCACCCCCACTTTGTGTTTTTTGATTTGTCCCCACGCCCCCACCAGCCCCCAGATGTGTCTGTCTTCAATCTTCCAGAATTGGTGTGGAATTTGATTGACACTCTCTGCAGCCCCCCAGTCTCTGGCTTTCTGGTCATCTGCCCCCTCTTGTCCCACCCTACAACCCTCCTTGGCCAGGTGCTTTTTCTCCCTTTCCCCCACCCCATCTCGCCTGGCCTCTTGGCCCGTCCGCCCGTCCTTCTGCCTAAATTCTGCCCCAGGAACCCCAGCTCCTTAGTGTAGCCCGGGGCCCCTGCCAGCCTCATCTTGAGGTTCTGCCCCACTCATTCCTTCTGGCCATAGTGGATTTCTTTCTGCTCTTTCATAGGCCCATGTTGTTCTCCTTTCTAGGCTCTTGGGTGTTTTCTCTCTCTAGAAAATTCTGCTGCCGCTTTTTTTCGGTTTTACCTTTCTTGTTCTTTCTGTGCTCTTTGGAATCAGCCCCTTTCTACCCTCCCCAAACTAGAGTACCCTCTTAATTTCCATATTCCCTTGCCGTCCCCCCATTACAGCCTTGCCCATTCTGGGTGCTCCCTGGCCACAAGCCTGTTTCCCCTGGACCTGGCTTGGGAGCCTTGGGAAGAAGAGATGAGGTGTCTTATTTCTCTGGCTCCCACCAGTACCCCGAACTGAACCTCAGTGACTATGCAGGTTGACAGTTACCTCTCCCCTGCCCCATCTGTTTCCTGCTCAAAGGTGCCCATAGAAACAGAGGTGGAGAGCATGAACATCCTGGGCCTGGTGGTGTTCGCCATTGTCTTTGGTGTGGCCCTGCGGAAGCTGGGGCCGGAGGGCGAGCTGCTCATACGTTTCTTCAATTCCTTCAATGATGCCACCATGGTGCTGGTCTCCTGGATCATGTGGTGAGTGGGGGTTGGGCCAGAGGCCGTGGGAGTAGGAGATAGGGTTGCCCTCCTGCTCTTTGGAAATGGCATCAACCATTTCTCTGCTGTGTGGCTTGGGGCAAGTGCTTTACCCTCTCTGTGCAACAGTTTCCTCATCTGTGAAATGAGGACAGTGCTGTATCCTGTGAACGCTCAGACTGATGCCGGCACCTTCAGATCTTACTGGAAGACACTAAAAGCCATGGCCACATGTGGCTTAGTTTGAGAGATTGAGAAGTGAACAGACATTTGCCTTTGGCTCGGGGGTCTAAAATAGTGCCCACTTGACCAGGCGAGAAAATAACAAAAATAATGAACAACCATATACTAGAGACATTTTGCGGGGGTGGAGTGGGGAATGGGATCAAAACCAGGGGGCGGGGGGGGGAGGGTAGTGCGCGGGATTTTGGTGATGGCACACGGGTGACATGGTGATGGGAAACCCGCGGGGATTACAATTGAGATGGAAAAAAAAATGTACAAAATGATGTAAAAATAAACTGTTAAAAAATAGTGCCCACTTGAGAGGGCGATCATGAAGATTAAAGCACTTGGAAGGTGTTTTAAATGCCTGACACCTTCCCTGAATATGAGCCGCAGTTATGATCATGATGAGTTTTATTAAATGACCCCTGCTAATAGGAAATGTGCACAAGACTCTGGCTTCCATCTGTGCTCCTTCTCCAGCGCCTTCTCCGCCTGATACTCAGGACCCAGCCTGCATCTCAGGCTTACACCCTGGGCCCTCATTCCGAGGCAGCGGACATCAGAAGCTGCTGTGCCTTGATGGCTAAAGGCGCTTTGCCAGAGACCGAATGGGGCGGGCGAGAGCAGCTGCTGTCGGGGTTGCTTCGGCGGTCTTGGGGCTACAAGACCTAAGTTAGATAGCCCTTCTGTGCCTCAGACCCTCTCTGTGGAGGAGGGGCTTGATAGCACCGGGCACACATGAGGTAATGCAGGTACAGTTCTCAGGATGGAGCCTGACCTGTTACATGCCTACAGTAAACAGTAATAGCTAATATTTATCTAGTCCTTTGCTTTTATAACTTCTGGCACATCTCACCTGGCAGAACTTGGGCAGGGGCCCAAACCGGGCCGCAGAGGGGGCTGGGAAGTGGCACCTTTCTCCTGTTACCCAGTGAGAAGGGGTTTGTTCACAAGTAAGCGTCCCGCTCAAGCAGTCAGTGAAGCCATGGGCAGCAGCACCCCCTGGGATCTTTACTCCCAGAGAGGCCCCTAATAAACCCAGAAGTTTATAGATCACTTATTGTGTACAGAAAGCTTTCAACTCCTTTCAGCTGGCGTCTCACCTCAGCCCCCAGCATTTTTCTCAGGGTGGTGACATCGCCACCCCTGTTTTACAGGCTGATTTGATTTTGTTTCGTGAGCGTCAGCTGTGAGATGCTGGTTGGCGCTCCTGCCTGGGCTGGGTCAACACATGGTGGTGATCAAGGAGTCCACACAACCGACACCCGTCGTGCCTGGGAATTGTTATAAAGACTCGAGCAAGGACTTTTTCTCCTCTGTCGGTTTAAGCACAGGAGCGTTCTGACTAGCCCCCGACGTTAATGACGGCGGGTTCAGGCGGAATCTGAACCCAGGCATTCAGGGGCTGAGGAAGGCCGCCTGCGGGGCTCCCCACCCTGCCTCCAAGGGGCAAGCCATGGCAGGCCTGGTGGAGGAGCTGGCTGAGGTTCAGTGCAGGCCGGGGGGGGGGCACCTCTGAGGCCGGGGCAGCTGGAAAGGGGCGCCCCTGTGAAGCCGGGCGCCTGGCCCAGGGGCGCAAGGCACAGGCTGTTGTCTCCTGGGTCCGCAGGTATGCCCCAGTGGGCATCTTGTTCCTGGTGGCCAGCAAGATTGTGGAGATGGAGGACGTGAAGCTGCTCTTCACCAGCCTCGGCAAGTACATCCTGTGCTGCCTGCTGGGCCACGCCATCCACGGGCTCGTGGTGCTGCCTCTCATCTACTTCCTGTTCACCCGCAAAAACCCCTACCACTTCTTGTGGGGCATCACCACAGCGCTGGCCACGGCCTTCGGGACCTCTTCCAGGTGAGCTGAGCTGGCCGTGGCAGGTGTCTGAAGACCCCTGAGATGTCCGGGACGCTGGACTTAGATCCCCTCCCTCCGAAATTTAGGCGAGTGCGTTAGATGTCCCCTCTCCTCCTGACACGACCCTCCTCCCTGCTAGGCCTAGCCCGGGGTGGGGGACCCTGGATCTCCACCTGGATCCAACCTCATGAAACCCCAGCCTTCTGGGAAGGAACAGGCCCTGCTCCCTCAGAACCCTGCCTTTTCCACAGCAGCACCCCCAGAAAGGTAGTAATTCTTGGCTGAGGTCTGTTGTTGGCCATGCAGGGAGGGGGGTATCAGAGAGGTCTCTGACACTTTCAAAGTAGGTACGAATTTTCCCATGTATTTTGAGGAGTAGCTGTCAGTAAGTCCCCCAGGGTGTCCCGGACTTTACGTTTGGAATGCCTGCATTCTGGGGGCACCCTCGAGCCCCTGGGCTCGGGAAAGGGAAGGCTGTGGAGAACTAGGGAGGCCTGGGTGTGTGGGAGAGAGGCTAGGTAGGGGTCAGGGCCTAAGAGGGTGGACAGTCTGCTTGGGTGGCCTGGGCACATGGGTGGGACTAGACTGCGGGGCAGAGCTCAGCTATGGGGTGATGGAGATCCAGGAGGCTGTGGGGTCCAGGCCGCCCAGGTGTTATGGGTGTGGCTTGAGAACAAGCAGGACTTAGTGAGACCAGGTCTAAGGGACAGCGAACAGCGCCCTGTCGAGGCTGCGTGGGGTGCTGTGGGCGTGGTTTGAGTGGTGGGCGGGGCCCTCGGGCCGGCGGTGCCAGCTCCCTGAGAGCTGCGGTGCTCACAGCTCCGCCACGCTGCCGCTGATGATGAAGTGCGTAGAGGAGAGGAACGGTGTCACCAAGCACATCAGCCGCTTCATCCTCCCCATCGGCGCCACGGTCAACATGGACGGCGCGGCGCTCTTCCAGTGCGTGGCCGCCGTGTTCATCGCGCAGCTCAACAAGCGGTCCCTGGACTTCGTGAACATCATCACGATCCTGTGAGTGGGTTGGGTACGACTACTCGCTTGACCTTCCCCAGAGAGTGGACACAGGCCGAGGGACGGGGCTCGCTGGCAGCCTCTCCCAGCACAGGGCCTCTTCCTGACTGCTCTCCTGTCCCCCAGGGTCACGGCCACCGCATCCAGCGTGGGCGCTGCGGGCATCCCGGCTGGAGGCGTCCTCACCTTGGCCATCATCCTTGAGGCGGTCAACCTGCCCGTTCACTACATCTCCTTGATCCTGGCGGTGGACTGGCTGGTGTAAGTGTGGGTTGATTTAAGGGGGCCCCAGGGGGGAGGGGATGAGTAAGAGCTTCTGGAACCAAGGGAGTGTGTGTATGTGTGTGTGTGTGTGTGTGTGTGTGTTTTATTCCTCCACTTTTGTTAAAAAAATTTAAGTAACTTTGTAGTATAGCATAAGATTCAGGTGTGCATTGCCGAGAACTAGCATGATTTTACTATATTGAAGAGATGGGGAGATCCTGAGTGTTCTGGGGAGAAGAATGCCCTGAACTAGGGCTTAGTATTTCAGGGGAGAGGAGTATGGTTTTCTGGCTCCAAAAAGAGTGACAGATGGCTCTGAGAATCCAGAAGGAACCTGTCTTGTGTTTTTTGGGAGAAAGAATCACTTAGGGTTCAGGGAAGAGGGATAGGATGGAATGCTTTGGGATTCCAGAGGAAAGAAGAGAGGAGGTGTAGGGGGTTTTGGGGTTTGAGTTGAAGAGAGATCTTTGAGGGACTAAGAGGAAGGGTCATATGGGTTCTGGGAAGATGGAGGGAAGAAGTGGGTCTAGGGATACAACGGGAACGAAATGGACGGAAGTGAAGGAATGGTGGCGTGAAGGAGGGTGTGATGGGTGCTTCAAGATTCTGGAATGAGAGAAGGGGGGGCCCTGACCCCTCTCATTCACCTCTCTGTCACCCCTACCCCCTCAGCGACCGATCCTGTACCGTCCTCAACGTGGAAGGTGACGCCTTTGGGGCGGGCCTCCTCCAGAATTACGTGGACCGTTCAAACTCACAGAGCTCTGTGCCCGAATTGATCCAGGTGAAGAGTGAGACGCCCCTGGCTCCACTGGCAGCCTCTCCTGAGGAGGGGAACCCCCTCCTCAAATACCATCCAGGACCTGCTGGGAATGCTGACCCTTGTGAGAAAGAATCAGTCATGTAAACTCCAGGGGGGACCTTCCCTGCCCCAACGGAAACACATCAGGATCATGTGAGATGGATAAAAGGACAAACGTGACGTGACCCTGGGATCACTGCCCAGAGCCTCAGGAGCAAGAGGCTGCTGATCCCCTCCCCAACATCAGACCTGGAAGGTGTCGCTGCCGGAGATGTATGTGTACCAATGTGTACAGGTGTGTCTCCCCAGACCTTCCCGGTCCTCAGCTGCTGTCCCCATCCAAGATTAGGAAACAGCAAGATGGAGAAACAGTGCCTGGGAGCCTGCCATCTTGGGCACGGGCCTCAAGTCTCAACGGGTCAGCCGCTGAGATTCTTCCCTTTTTGAGACAATGGCTTTCAGCGTGGAGCAGCTCCTTTGCCGGTCGTTTTTGGTGGTGCCTGTCTCTGATGTGTGTGCATGGGTTGTAGGACTGTCCACGGTACATCCCGTCCTGGCCCCAGGCCCCCTCCGTCCCCTCCTAGTCACAGAAACTCCCCTGGGAACTAATCGGGGCGGAGGCGAATGGGGTAAATTTTGCCGTCTCTACACTACACTAGACACTTTCAGCAATGAAATGACCAAGCTGTCTAATCAGACCTTTGTGAGAATTTGACTAAAAGCACTCGCCACACAGGAAAATAAAAACGCATGACAAATTTGGACTTTTTCGAAGTAAAATGTCCGTTCATCGAAAGGCACCCTTGAGGTGCCACAGCCCTTGCCTTTAGAATGGCAACAAGAAAGACGGCCCATACTTGGGGTCACCAGCTCTTAGACATCGTAGAATTTTGCTGTGAATTTTTCTGTGTTTTGCGGAGCAGTAGTCTGTACTCTACCTGGTTCCAGCTGGACCCTCTGGTACTTTGCCTACAGGACCAAATAGAGAGGCCTGCGGATGGGGGTGGGCAGGGAGGGACTTGGTGAGTGGGCGGGGCTTGGGCCAAGAGCCATTGGCTTGTGGGGGGGGCCTTCTGCAAAGGCCCTGGGGGCGGCGGGGGGGCGGGCCAGGGCTTGCCTGGTGGGTGGGGCTTCAGCCCGGTGTGATGGGCTGTGTGGGCAGGTAACACCAACTCCTTTCCGCGTGTGGAAAGAACTTTCCGTTCACTTTGGGAAACCATTGGGCGGTTTCTTGCAGGTTAAAGTGTACATATACTATACCTATTCCTGGGTATTTGCCCAGGAGAAATGTAAACTGCTCACACAAAAACCAGTAGTCAAATATTTACAGCTGCTTTCTTCACAGTTGCTAGAATTTGGAAACAAATCAGTTGAATAATTCTTTATGGGATGGGACAGTATTCAGCTATAAAGTATTGATCTATTCAATTTGGCATAGACAGTATTTTCAGTAAAGGAAGTGGGAAGCAGTTCTGACTTTCGGTTTGGTTTATAGGAAGGCCTGGAACAGGTAGAGGGTGAGAACTCTGAAGGTGGTGACCTGTGGGGGCGCTTGGACAGGGTTTGAGAGACCTGTGATGCAGCCAGTGTTCTTCTTTTTTAGATTTGTAATTTACTTTTAAAAAAGATTTTATTTATGCATAGAAGAACTGGGGTGTAGGCCAGAGGTATGGGGTGCGAGGATTCACCAGAGAGAGTAGGGAGCAGAACAGGCAGATGTACTGAAATCCACTTCTGAGGGGAGCTGCGGGGAGAAATGAGAGGTCTGCTGCGCCATGTGGGTCACTTCCAGGGCCGGGGACTGAACTCGCACTGAAGTGGCTGTGTCCAGCTTTCAGTCCTGCGCCCCAACCCATTGCACCACCAGGGAGGGCCCTAAGCTCATGTTTTTAACCCAAACTTTGTGATTTAATAAAACCCTGCTGTGGGGCTGTTCTGAGTCCTTGTGAGTTGGGGATGTGGACACTATTGGCGGCTCATCTGTTCTAGTGGGATGTGTTCACTAAACATAGATATTATCTCCCCTTATTCTCTGTAGATCGAGGTGTAGACTTGCCAGATGCCCGGAGGCACCAGCAATTTGGATCCAGTTATAGATGGTGCCTGAGTTATCCGTGACATCTAGGTTTATTTAGTTACAGCCTGTGGTCACTGCCGTGTGGAAGGGAAGTGTAATTCATACCTGGTTCTGTGCAGATTGTGTATTGCACACAGACATGGCCACCAGTGGGCTCATTCCACTAAGGAAGTACAGTTGACCCTTGAAAATAGGCATGAGGGCTCTCCCTGATGGCACAGTGGGTTAAAGCACCACATTATGAAGCTTTCCAAAGCCACTGCAGCACAAGTTCGATCCCAGGTCAGGGAGTGACCCACATGGCATGGCAGACCTCTCTTGACCCTCCCTGCTGCTCCCCTCAGCAGTGTATTTCAGTATACCTGCCTGCTCTGCTCCCCACTCTGTCTCTGGTGAATCCTCTCACCATCACACCTCTGGCCTGGACCCCATTTCGGTTTCACTTAAACTTGTAAATAGTGAAAACTTTCAGTGCCTATTAATACAGTCCACTCCTGTAGATATTTTCTCTTTCTTGTGACTTTCTATTTTTTGAAGATATTCTTCCCCACCACAACCCTGTGTCCCCTTTACTCCCTTCCCTCCCTCTCTTATTCTTTCCCTCTCCCTTGTTAACTACAGAGCTCCCAAGATGTTCTTTTTTAAAGATTTATTTATGCATATAAGGATGAAGGTACAGGCCAGAGGTGTGGGGGATGAGAGGACTCACCAGAGACAGAGAGGGGAGCAGAACAGGAAGATGTGCTGAAATCCACTGCTCAGGGGAGCAGCGGGGAGACAGAAGAGGTCTGCTGCACCCTGTGGGTCCCTCCCTTGGTGGGGATCGAATTCAAGCTGTAGTCGCAATAGCGCTGAGACTTACTCCCTGGGTCACCAGGGAAGCACTGTGATTTTCTCAATCAGATCTCTCTTCTAGTTTATTGTAAGCATACAATATATAATACATTTGTCCAAATATGTGTTCATTGACTATAAGGCAGGTAGTTAAAATTGGGGGGAGCCAAGTTATATGGGAATTTTCTTTTTTTTAAATTTGTTAATTGCTTATTTGTCAAGAGAACCCCAGTATTCATGATTCATAGTTCAGAAACACAGGTCACTGACAAACTTCCATGGAAGTCAAGCCAAAGAAATTAATTTTTAGAAAGATTTTATTTATTTATGCGCACAAGCACTGGGGTACAGGACAGAGGTGTGGGGGATGAGAGGATTCACCAGAGATAGAGAGGGGAGCAGACAGGCAGACCGACTGGAATCCACTGCTGAGGGGAGCAGCAGGTGGGTCAGGAGAGGTCTGCTGTGCCATGTGGGATTGAACTTGTGCTACAGTGGCTGGTGATAGCTTCAGAGTGCTACACTTTAACCTATTGTGCCACCAGGGACGGCCCCCAAGGAAATTCTTTATGTTCCAAGATCACTCTGCTTCTGAAAGCTCTCAGCCTTCCTCAACTCCTGAAGAAAAACAAATTTTTTTTATAATTTTAATACCAATTGAAACAAAATTGCAGCTTCTTGAAGAAGCATCTGTTCTTGCTGGCTTGTACCTGCCCTAGAACTTGACCTTGGCCTGCTGTCAAGCCTTGTGTTTAAGAGCAGGATTTTCAAAGACATCCTGGTTGATGACAGTTCCGTCCTGGGGCTATCCAGAGTGCCTTATGGGCTTGAGGTAACTAGTTATAAACTTACACAAATCGCTTGATCTTTGACCTTTGGGTGATTTGTCCTTGTTCCTGGCCACGGTCACCTTTCCGGGATAGCTATCAACTCCAGCCACCAGAGCGCTGGAGCCAGGAGCTGTAGTCGATGTTCTTCACAACAACCCTCTGTGTCTGGAGGAGTGTCCAGCCAGGACCAGCACTGGTTCCCAGGGCTCAGGAACTTGCCCGCTTCAGCATAAGCACTCAGGTCTACAGCTTTTAAAAAGGGGCCTCCAACCCCTTGGAATCATTTCTGTAGGAGTCCGTGTGATTCTTCTTCCTTGGTTCAGCCACAGCAAATTACAGGCTTACACAAAGCTGCAGCCTCCGGGAAAACAATGAATGTTCCGATAATAAGAAATTGCAGACGCTGGGCCAGAAGGCCGGTCTCTGAGCTTTGGACAAAACCCTAGAAGCTATGGTGCTGCTATTGCAAGTGTCCTTCTGTGTTGAAGGTGAAATGGAGAATGGATTTTTGACTGCAGGAGGTTAGCGCCCCAATCCCTTCTGGTTCAAAGGTCACTGTTATTGGTGTTTTCAATGCACTCTCATCTCAGAACCCCAGGTGGGTTGTTATATAGGTGTTGGGATATTTTGATTCTATTTGGAGAAATAGGTTGGGATTAAAAAAAATTATTTATTTGTGCATCCAAGAACTAGTGTACAGGCCAGAGGTGCAGGGAGTGAGAGGATTCACCAGAGAGAGAGTGGGGAGCAGAACAGGTGGATTCACTGAAACACTGCTGAGGGGGGCTGGAGAGCACCCAGCAGGACAGGGATCCAACTCATGCCGCAGATAGATTCACAGATGAGACTTACTCCCTTGTGCCGCCAGGGAGGCCCCTCCCCGTCTTGATCTCCTTCCTCCCTTCTCCATGCTTTCTCTCGCTTCTCCCTGCTCAGTTGCACCCTTCCTTGGGGTGGGGCAGGAAACCTGGAACCTTCCCTTTCCCCGGGAACCACCCCTTTGCAGACACTTGAGTGCCCCCTTCTCCATTTCCCAGCGCTCCTTTGAGCCCCTGTGCCACTTCCCAACCCAGGCAACCACTGATTTGCTTTTGATCACCATGATTCATGGAGTCCTTTCTAGAATGTCACGGTCGCGAATCATGCAGTAGGTTGCTTTTTGCATCCTCTGCCCTTTTATGTAGCCCTGTGCTTTGGGGATTTAGTCAGGCTTTTGCACATGCAAGCAGCTCGCTTTTTTTTTTTTTTTCTTTTTAATCACAGAGTATTCCATTGTGTGGAACCACACCATTTATTTATCCATTCACTTGCCCTTGGATGTCAGGTGGTTTCCAGTGAGGTGCTATCCTAGGTGAACAGGAATTGACACGCTTTTGTCATAGCAGACTGCTAATGTCCTGGGGGTGACTGGCGTATGAGTTACTGCTTGGTGAAGGAGTCAGTCCCCCTTCCCACTGGGTCCAGGGTTCACCCTGGGAGCAAGTCAGGAGGGTGGATACAGAAGGCTCCTGGCAGTCCCTTTACCAGTGGACCCTAGTCCATTTAATGTTTTCTTTTTTTAAAGATTTATTTATGCTTACAGAACCGGGGTGCAGGCCAGAGGTGCAGGGGCGGTGGGAGGATTCACTAGAGACAGTGGGGAGCAAAACAGGCAGATTGACAAAGTACACTGCTGAGGGGAGCAGCGCGCGGGTCAGGAGAGGTCTGCTGCACCATGTGGTCACCTCCGGGGCTGGGGATTGAACTTGCACTGAAGTGGCTACAGCCAGCTGGCAATGCTGCACTTTAACCCTTTCTTTAAAAAAACAAAAACAATTTATTTATTTAATCATACAGAAACTGGGGTACAGGCCACAGATGCAGAGACAGAGTGGGGAACAGAACAGGTGGATCTACTGAAATATACTGCTGAGGCGAGTAGCAGGTGGGTCAGGAGCGCCTGCTGCTCCATGTGGGTCAGTCCCTGGCCGGGGATCGAACTCACACTGCAATGGCTGCGGATAGCTTCATAGTGCTGTGCATTAATACGTTGTGCCAACTAGGGAGGCCCCATTTAATGTTTTCTTACTGACGTGGCCGACCTGGCCACACGGGCTCCCTGATGGGTTGGATGTCAGCTCTGGGAAATTTCCTGAAATGAAGTTCAGGGATAGTAGAACCCACCTGCCCATGGCTTTGGGAATAATCTATTGCCATGACTGTAAGCAAAAAGGAGAAATAAAAGGGTAGTGAGGGATATTCCGCACTTCATTATATGCATGCCCGAGGGGCCACCGCCTTGAGGAGGCATCACAGAAGGGTGTCTGATTACCAAGAGCAATGCAAAAAGGGATTTTCTGAAATTGTTGACAACCCTTGGCCAAGTTTCAAGCAAAAACAGAATACAAACCTCCTTCCTTTTACTTCCTGGAAGATTCAGAGCCTGTTAGGCCCTACAAGAAGGGCTTTGTGTTGGCATGAGAGCCAGGTTCTGGGCTCAGAACATTCTTAACTAGGTTTTTCACCTCCAAGTAAGGCTAAAACGCAGTTGGTATGCATCAGTGGGTGGGCTGGTCGTTAGAATGTCAGAACACTTCTGTCTGCCTGGTTAATAGTATGAGAGGGAGGGGGCCGAAACACCTTCGTTTCGTCATATGTCGTTTCCTTAGAACATGGATAAGAAAAGCAGACCCCGGCAGACACTGACAGTGATGTTATCTGCGGAGCTGACTTTGTTGCCATTTCGCCTGAAGTCAGTTTCTAAGAACTGACTGACATTCAGTGAGGACATACCGTTATTGAGAGAGAAAGCAGTAAAATTCAGTAACTGTTCAACATTAAACTTATGTTAATGTAGTATGAAGGCCTGTCATTTCATAATTTAGATGATAATGGATATTGAATATACAAAAGTACCAGGCTGGACTATAAGCACTAGAAAAGGTTTTAATGTAATCACTGGGAGCTCAGGAACAGAGAAGAGAGGATTAAACCCCCAGACACGATAGTCGATGTGAAGTCATTTAAGAGTTCTCTGAATGAGAAGTTGCTAGAAGCATTTGAGGTGGTTCCCTTATCAAATCATAGCCAAGGCAGGTATATGTGTGTATGTAAATCACACCAACAATTTTTGAATAAAACAAGATATTAGACCGAAAATGATTTGAGCTTGGTAAACAACTTGGACACATATATAGAGAGAGGATTTTAATTAGAGAATCAAAGAGATATTTAAATTATTTTATTTAAAAATTGATGCATATATTGATTTATATATTATATTAATTTATATTACCGTTCCAGTTGCAAGACATTTTGAACACCACCCATCCCTGGTGAATGTCAAGTGAGACCTTTTCAAACGATCTGGGACAAGGGCCAGTGCTTAGTGGTGCCCGGTGCCCTGCATGGCATAAGATGGCTCCACCCTGGGCCATGCCTTCCGAGAGCCAAGAGGATGTCCCATCACAGTGGTAACCCAAATCACCCCTGTGTGCTTCTAGAATGTTCCATGGGAACGCAATAGTGTCTTTGGGAGCCATTTGCAGGCTCAGTGGTTGAAAGCAGAGGCTCGGTTATAAGAAGTTGGACTTTGGGTGTCTAAGCCTCAGAGCATCAGGGCAAATTTCTGTCCCCTTGTGGGTCTGTGAGGATGCGTCCTCCGCTTCCTCCTCCTGAGGGTTTTACACTTCTGCAATATCATCAACTCCTCCCCCGCCCAAATCCATAGGTTCAGAGAGGCAACCATTTGCCTAAGATCACAAGACAGGAGCAGACCCATCTCTGACCTAGGACCCCTTTACCCACGTGGGGTGTGTGGCTCACTACCCCCACTTCATAGGTGTAGAAAGCAGAGTCTGGGCAGGCAGCCCACGTTCACCAAGGAAGTGGCAGCTCTGGATTTGAGCCTGTGCTTTTTTTTTTTTAAACAGGTGGGGAGCTGGGGGACAAGTCGTTGGGATCAGGCAGGTAAACAAAAACCTCTATATATAAGATTCAAATCAAATAAGTTAAGCCTCACTATAATATACAGACAGCAGTAGTACCTGTGTGTAACTTATAAATAAGGACACGCCTGAAAGGTCATGTCCAAACAGCTACTTGCCTCACTTCCTCCCATCCACTCTCACTTGTGGCCCCAAGGGGCAGGGGGCTGCAGCTTAGTGTGGCATTGCAAAGCCCCCCTCAGAAGCTCTGAGCAAAAAGGAGCAAGGCAACAGCCACTTCCTAAGCTGCCTGACCTGGGGCAGGTGACGATCCTTTTCCTTATCTGAAATGAAATCCTAGCACCTTTCACCTGCGAGGATGGTGAGACTCCCAGGATGGCGCCTTGTACACAGTAGGTGCTTGGCAAGTGTGAGCTGAGACCAGGCTTCCCCTCAACCTCCTCGCCAGGCAGAGAACTAGAATGAGGTAACAGTTCATAAGGAGAGGCGCCAGGGCAGCCCTAGTGATTAACCGCAGCATGCACCTCGCTTGGGGGCTCGGGGGAAGGGAGTAGCTTTCTGCAAGAGGGAGATAGTTAGCATGTGCTGCCCGGCACAGGGGCGCCCTCTAGTGGCGGGTGCAATCCCAGCAGCCACTGGACTGAAGCGGAAGTCACTTCAGATCCTTGGTTCTGTCTGTCCTCCCTTCTCTTGAATGTCCTTCTTGGTCAATTCCTCCACATGCCCACCGCCGACACACAGACCCCAAAAGACAAAGGCTAGCTCCCCTTGACGGGCTGTTCCCCTGGCCCCAGATATGGGGGTATAGGGTTCAACCGCTCCCCGCCAAACTCAGGAGTGCAGGGTTGGGGTACTCCGGGTTCTCGATGACCCCGGGGCCGAATTTGAGCTCCAGGAAGCGGCGGTAGTTGTTAGGTGCCTGTGCCATGAAACCAGCAAAGGGCAGAGGCACCAGAGGCTGCAGGAAGTGTTCGGGGAACTCAACATCCTGCCGGTGGTCCAGCCACGTGTCCTTGGTCATGACCCCATTGCGCGGGTAGAAGGGCCACAGGTCCACGTGCAGGTGGTTGCTCTCGCTGTACTGCACGCGGAAGAAATCGCCCTCCACCGCCTTTTCCCACACAAAGCCGCGCTCGTCCACCACGGAGCCCGCCTCGGCTCCCCGCAGCTGCTCACAGTTGCCCACATCCTCCAGGTAGATGCCCAGGTCCACGTCGTAGTCCCACGGGATGATGTCCCCGTGGCGGGCCGCCCCCAGCAGCGAGCCGCCCTCCAGCCAGTAGCGCACTCCCGCCGCCTCCAGCACGCCCACCACGTAGCGCGCCGTCTCCCGCAGCGCGCGCAGGCAGCACGGGGGCGCCCAGCGCTGCTCGTACAGGTAGGCAGGTGTGTCGCCCACCACTGTGCCGAAGCAGCGCGCGGTTTCCTTGCTGCAGCCGAACCACTCCAGCCGCCCGCCCTCCCAGCTCACCAGGCGGATGCCCAGCGCCCGGAGCAGCGCCACCCGCCGCGCGCGCCCTTCGCGCTCGGCCTTCCAGCGTGCGTGGGCTGTGGTCAGCGGGGGCTGGTGCGCCGCGGCGAAGGGCAGGTCCAGCAGCTGCACGGCCCAGCCGCGAAGGGCGGTCTGCAGGAAGAGGCTGGTGCCCACAGGCCGGGCCAGGGGCGCCGAGAGGTTGAAGAGGTCCCGGGCACGCAGGAGCACGACTGCGTCTCCTTCCAGAGCATCGCAGCGGGGCGCAGTGGGTGCCGGACCATACCGGGCCGTCCACTCCCGTAGGCTGACGTTTAGGGCCAGGCACCGCGCAGGGTTGGCGGAGGCCACCGGGGCGGCCACCAGGCGTGGGCCTCCTGCCCGGAGAATCTCCACCATGCGCTCCAGCTGGCCCGGACCATCGACTCTTGTGCCATCCGGCACTAGAGCCACGAACTCGGTGGTCACGTAGGTCTCTGGGCGCGAGGCCGCGGCGGGCCGGTCTAGGGCGGGCTGGAGCAGCGCCAGCCGGACGTTGGGGAGGCGTGGCAGGGCCAGGGGCGGGTAGGGGAGCACGTCGGCCGCCACCACCACTGGCTGGGCGGGGTCCTGCTGCAGGAGCGAGTCCACCAGCTCCGGCACCGCGTTATCGAAGGCCTCGAATTCTCGCACCAGGACGGTGACACGGGGGCCGGCGGCAGATCCGCGGCGCAGGCCTCGTGCCCGGGAGCTCCTGGGCTGGTGCTGCAGCCACGAGACATAGAAGAAAACCAGGAGGTTGAGGGCGATGGCGGCTACCAAGGCAGCCTGGCAGCGAGTGAGCCGCATGGAGTCGAAGTCAGACCCTGGCAGGGCCTCCAGGGCATCCTGGGGGGAATGAAGCAAAGGCTGGGACCGGTTGCCACGAACCCCCACCTGTGGTCAGTCTTGCCTCGCGGCCAGCCCTTTGCCTGTTTGGTTTTGGCCAACTTTCCCCTCCTCCAGGAAGCCTTCCCAGACCTCCTAGACTGGGCCAGGCACATCTTCACCTGTGCTCACCCGCTCCCCAGCCCCCCATGGACTGTGAGGCCCATGAGGCAGGTTGGGTGGTGGGTCCCAGCGCCACCCAACACTGTATGTACAAATTAAGGGCTCAGTACACTTCAATCGACTGAATCACCTCCAGCCTGTGGAGTCCCACCTCATTCAGGTTCAGCTCCAATTATAAGTGCCTCACCGGCACTGCCCGGCCCAAAGTGCGCCTTCCGCACCAGCCCCTGCACCCCCCTTGGCACCGGCTCTAGGGTGAGGCTGAATCTGGCCCCCAGCCTTCCTAGCTACCTCCTCCTGCCTTCCTCCAGACCCTGTGGCATCTCTTTCCTAATGTTCTACCAGGTTGTTTTGGCTTGCAAGAAAAGCTGGAAATGTTTTCTGGAGTCAAAGTTATCCCAACTTTTAATGTTGGCCACATTTATTTCGAAATGCAGCAGTTTAAGCGATAGCGGCAGAAAGCAGAATGGTGCTTGCTGTGAGGAGGGGAGGTGGGGCACTGGGGTCTTGGGCAGTTCCTGGTAGATTGTTTGCACGACTTAATGCCACTGAACTACACACTTAAAAAGAAAATGTTTGCCTTGTGTATTTTATCACAATGAAGTATTGGTTCCCCTTCCCCGGCTCACCACCCAAGCCGCCGCCAGGTGGCGCTGTGCCCCGGCGCCAGCCCAGCGAGGATTTGGCAGGCCTCCAGCACGGGCGGTGTAACTAACTCTGGCAGCCGAACGGATACTCAAAATAAAGTTCCCCGCGGGGATTTTCACAGATGTCTGCCTCTCCCAGACAGGGGGACATCAGAGGCCCAGTTAATCTTCCTATTTCTTAAATACTTCTGACCCTTCCTCCACATTCCCACAGCTCCCCCTTAATCCTGGTCCACCCAGGTACCCAGCCAGCCTCCCCAGGAGCCAGAGCCAGCGTCTCCTGACCAAATATCCTCCTCATGGCAGCCAGAGAGCTTCATAAAGCACATATCTGAGCTCTCCCTCCATGCTCAGAACCTGCCATGGCTCTCTAGTGCCCTGGGGAGGAAGTTCCAGTTTCTTACATCCGACAGGCTTGGAGTGACCTGGCTCTGGCCCACCCACCAGTCCAACCCCAGCTCCTGCCTGAGCCACCCAGTCTTTTCCTCAAACGGGTCTTATTTCTAAGCCTTAGCACACTGTGTTCCATCTAGAAGATCTCTTCCTTTCGAACATCTCTTCTCCCAATACCTCTTTTCTGGAGAACTACTGATGTTTCAGACCTCCACTCAATGACCCCTCCTCCAGGAAGCCTTCCCTGCACCAGGGTTAGGTCAAAAAGTCTCTTTTGGACTCTCCAAATCTCCAGGCATCCCCATGCCAGCCCTGTCTATTCTGGTTCAGTGCTGTCTGCCCCATTCTATGACCAGGGGTGGGGAGAGACAGCGGTCTCTTGCATGGCAGGGCACTGACAATGGCTGCAGAAACCAGTGAGGGCCAGAGCGAGCTTTCCAGGTTTCATAAAGCCCTCTCAGGCCCAGGAGCAGGCCCTGCCCACGGCCGCGAGCCTGGGGCCCTGCCTCCATTCTCTCTGGCCAGGAATGCCTGCCCTTCACCCACCCCAGTGCGTCTGACCCTTGTCTGACTCTAGCTAGACAGCACCAAAGAATCTGAATGGAGACATCTTCATCCTAAATCTGGTGATGGCTGCCTGACCCTGAGTGGGTCCCTGCTCCTTCTTTTGTGGAAGCACTAGAGTGCCAGTCTCCATTCCAGGCACCGGGGACACAGCAGTGGGTCAGTCAACACCCCTGATCTCACAGGGCTCCCATTGGGGTGGGGCAAGGGAGGCCTTTGGAACTATAGAATCTCTAGGGTCTTAATGAATGCAGAATCTTAGGATTAGGCACAAAGGAGCAAAAAGGTGATGTGCTGATGGGTTCAGAATCTCCTGAAAATTCTAAGACTGTCTTCCTGTTCCACCTTCACCCCATACGATCTGTTCATCTGTTCCCCACTCGCCTCCCAGAGGGATCCTGTTAAAATTCAAGTTTGATTGTGCCTACCTCTACCTAAACCCTTTCAGGGTTCATAACTCAAAGGCAAAGCCAAGGGCAAAGCCAAAGTCACCCAAAAGGCCCCATGGCACCCCCCTGCACTCTCCTGAGTGGTCTCCTCAGCTATGACCACATAGGCCTCCGAATACCACTGGCAGAGGCTGCCAGTGACCCAGACGTCACTAAGTGACGCTGACGCTGGCTCTGGCACGCTCCAGACACGGTACTGCCCGCCCCTCTGGCCGGGTGCCTCCCTGGCGGCTTTTTGGTCTCTGTTCACCTGTCCACAGAGGCCTTTCTCCGGGCTCCTGCTTCATAATCCGCCCTCTTGCTCCACGCACTGCTGTGCCCGGCCCTGCGTCCTCTCGTTTTCCCGTAGCTCCCTTTCCCCTGTCCCTGCTGTCTGCTGGTTCCTGGCTCTGTGCAGGAGCGCAGCTCAGAGAAACTAGCGCACGGCAGTCAATACAGAGCAAGGCCTGAAGTGACCCGTTTGTCCCGATGGGGCCCCTGACTCAAGCAGCAGATGCAGGGTTCTCCGCCTCTCCACCGTGGCTCTGGGACAAGAGGTACTCAGCCAGAGAGAACAGAAACTGGATCCTCAGAAACCAGCAGGTGTGAGGGCCAGGTAAGGAGGTGCCCCTGCTGGGCAAAAGGGATCTTCTAGTGCCTGACAAGGTCCTGGGCTTCTGTAACTGCGAAAGGCGGAAGCCCCCTCTCTCAGGCAAGGGGATGATGCAAGGAAAGTTGATGGAGCTTCTGGATCATGTGTTCCAGCAACAGTTCTGGCAGCTTAGGATGTGCCAGGGCCCGCTCGAAGCACTTTACAACCTGTGTAATCTTCATGTTATGACCACACATGGGGAAACTGAGGCACAGAGCAGTGAAGGCACTCGTTCAAGGTCACACAGCTGGGAAGTGGTGGGCCCAGGAGCTGGTAAATCAACACCCTCTGTCTCTCTTTGGTCCTAACCTGACAGGTTACTTTCAAAGCTGAATCTGGCACATTCACTGATTAATTCAACAAAGACGGTTACTGTGTCATTGTGCCTGGCTGTGTTCTAGAGACACAGGATGAATGGGCATTGGCCCTGGCACTGGGCAGGCCCTCCAGAGGTGGCGGCTGCGAACCGCACAAACACCTCACAGATAGGGCACGAAACCCACAGCGGGGTGCTACAGACAGAGGAAGGTGGCCAGGGAAGGAAAGGAAGTTAAATCAGGCCTTCTTTGTCTTTGTGAATGCAGTGACACAGAAGGACTCCTTACCTCCTAGGTAGCTGGCTGGGGGAGCTCTGGAGGGGCAGTGCCAGCCCAGCTCAGGGGCAGTGCTGCGGGAAGGAAAACCAGAAAATCCCAAATCAGCCAATTTTGCATAATAGAGCACAACGTCATCTTACAACAAAAGTGGCAACGAAGTCAGAGAATCATTCTCTGCTGTCCCAGAAGCTGGGGCACCACCTGGAGCCTCTCTGGAGAGGGTGGGAAGGATGTCAGTTATCATTACCAACCCAACCCTCTCTATCAATGTGTCCAGAAAGGTAGGGTGAGAGTGACAGAAGCTGTTACCATGACAACCCTTCCCTAGACACACTCCATCCTGAGACAATGCTAAAACATTCCCATCTTGGTGGGCCTGGTTCCTGCCGTCACTGGAAGGGGGACCCCCACATCACCATAGTAACCAGGACTTAGCCTTGCCTATTTTTCACCTCCCTGGGGAGGGTCTAGGTCCGGTAACCATAGCAACTACTCAGCAGAGCATCTCTTCTAAATAAAAACACCTGGTTGGTTTGGTCCATGGACCTCCCAAGAAGGGAAAGGAGGGGATGGTTACCATGGTAATGCCAACTGGGTGGTGAGGGGGGAGGGTTAGGAAAGAGGTCCCGTTTCTCTTGGCCACCCTTGTCCTTGGGCCCTTTCTACCTGAGCGCTAAGTGCGATTGCCATAGTAACCAGGAGGGTAGGGGCAGGAGGACCACCAGGGACCTAGGTTACCTTGGCAACCTCCTCCAGGCTCCAGGACAGGAGAGGCTTGGGGCCCCATAATCACCAAGGTGGAGTAGAGGAGGAGTCTAAGAGGGGTGTCAGTTTTTTTTTTGGGGGGGGGGTTTACCAGGACGACCGACCAGGGCCAGGAATCAGGGAGAATGAGGGGCCACTGCTGAAATAACCCGCGGTGGTCGCCCTCTCTGTCAAAACATGACAGTGACTGTCGAAGAGTGGTAGTGGGGTGTGGAGCCGGTTAGACTCTTT